ATTTACACAATTTTTTGTAGAGTGAGTCCATTTATCGTGCCATTTACAATAACGTTTTCCTTTTCTTTCTTCTTTTTTAGGTATCTTATGTCCAGGCAGACAGGTCAAAAGCTGTTGATAACTCGGCGGCAGCTTCAGAGCTTCAGATGCCAACCAGTCGGCCGCGATCTTACCTTCTCTCTTCTCTATGATTATTCTTACAAAAGCACTGCCAATCCCTTTGAACAAGATTCCCGCAAGCTTGGATCAGTTGTGCTTGAGGGTGATTAGAGGAAATCAAATGAATCACAGCATGCAAACAATATTCTAAATCTGTTTCAGGAATGACCTGCTTGTAACCCAAATCCCATGCCAACATAAGGCCACGGTAGATCTTTTTCTTTGCCTTTCAAGATATTGTGTATAAAGAGAAAGATAGCCAGTCCTCTTGGGCGGCCGAGAGTGTTATGTAAAAAGGACCAAGGAGGATCCTATCCTAAAGGAGAAGGAGGAGTAGGAGCTAGCTTTAGGGGCGGAATCGAAGCGAAGAAATTCGTTCATGCCACGACGATCTATATGGAAGGGCAGTTTTGTTGATGCATTCCTCTTGAGAATGAAGAAGAAGAGAGATCTTCTTTTTAACAGGAAAATTTGGTCACGTAGATCTTCTATTTTGCCGGAATTCATTGATTGCTCCGTATGAATTTACAATGGAAAAACTCCTATTCGTTGTAAGATTACTGAAGGAAAGGTTGGTCATAAATTTGGAGAGTTTGCTTCTATACGGAAACGAAGACCTTCGAGAACAAATATTGTACCGGGAAGAAAAAGGGGGAAAAAGTAAAGTCTAAGCGCATATGGCACGAAAAGGAAATCCTATTTCGGTAAGACTTGATCTGAATCGTAGTTCAGATTCAAGTTGGTTTAGTGAGGGCGACCGCGAAAGTCACTGAATGGGTCAGTCTTTTAGTTCTACCAGATTAGAATATCAAAGGAGGACGTTGCAGATGTCGGGGGCGGACACGACTTTTTCTAAGGCTAGAAGACCACTGGAAGACACCCAGGACTATAGCATGTCGTGAAAGAAGCACACTGGACGGGCGTGCTTCGACCGTGTCTCCGGGGCACAGTTGGATGTAGATATCATGAACGCGAGGTGCAGGATACCAGGCCGAGAAACCCGGGCAACCATTCCCCTATGTGCCAATCGCTAGCGCATCCAGGGCCCCGGCACCCAGCTCAGCTGGAGAGGCCTAGCCTGATCTGAGAAGTGCTAATTCGGTTCGGATAGACTTCATTCAAGAATGCCACCGCCCCGGGAATCAATAAGAAAACAAGTGCTAAGTTTCAGATCAGTGAATAAACTGAAAGGAAAGAAGAGACCTTTCTCGCTCAGCGCCTAAAGCGCACTATGCTCCGCTTCAACAAATGAAACTTTTCGGTGGAACCGGTGAACCACGCGAGCTGGTTAGATGTGTGGGACAGAGGGCTCGTAGTACCTGCTAGTGCAGCTACGCAGTGGAAGGGAAGGAGCCTAAATCGACCCCCTTCTTTTTTTCTTTGAAAAAAGCAGTAAGGAGTAAGGAGATTAAAATCTCAGATGAGACTTAGCAGCTACCAACCGTTCTGACGCGCCCTTGACCTATTTTGATTAAGACCAAAACCTAATCTCTAAAGTGGAGCCTAGTTTAAGCTGTCAAACAAGTGATGATTGAATGGAAGAAAAACCACTAATATGGATATGGATGGAGTCTCGCTCAGTAAAGAGAGTTGTACGATTCGTAAAACAGGAGAAGAGCATGTCAAAGTATGGGGCAAAGGATGTTGCGTTTTGACTTTGTCTCCCGGGATCCACCACAGGTTGGGTTTGAGAGCCGTGTGATGGGTGACTATCCAGCACGGTTCAGAGAGCACTTTTAGTCTGCCCTGGTGAATGGAAGCACCCCTATCAAGCAAGAAGGAAGCAGCTCTTCCCACGGAGTAGTAACCATTGACTCTATTTATTATTATGGTAAATCAGTGTATCAAGATGTCAATCTGAGATCTTATTTCGGTTCGATACGTCCACCTACGAGACTCACCTTTGGCTTTCGTCTCGGTAGGTGTATTATTATACATTTTCCCAAAAGAACATTCATTCATTTCTTTCTTCCCCGTCGACCACGACGACTGAAACGACGCAAAAAATCCAGACCCGTAAAGGAGAAGGGCCGGTGGGGGGCATTTGGGAAAGTCAGGCCGATCGGGTGTCTTCATTCAAGCGACGGGACAGAAGAAGAATGAAAAGAAGTGAGAGGCCGGGGGGCAAGGAAAAGAGTCGAGTCGATCAGGCTCGACGATAGGGAGAAGCAAAACGAAATCAGGATTTGGCCAAAAAAGAAGTAAGGCTATGGATACCCTGACCGATCACCATCGATAAAAAAAAATCTTTCTAAATCACTTCGTGTCAGCGGGGCCTTCAAGCATCCGAAATACACCGGGATTGAAAATGACATAGCGTTCCTGATAGAAAATGAGGACTCCTTCAGAAAACCAAACTTATTCAAGTTCTATTTCCCAAAGAAGTCCCGCTTCGACCTCCCGACGAGTCATCTACTTAAAAGGACCCTCCCCGCAGTCCGCCCTTCCTTGAATTATTCGGTCATGCAATACTTATTGAATATAAAAAAGAAAATGCATTTCGACCCCGTCGTAGTTCTCAATCATTTCATGGCACCGGGCGTGGCTGAACCATCTACGATGGGGGGAGCTAATGCACAGGGAAGAAGCTTAGATAAAAGAATACGGTCTTGCATCGCTTTTTTTGTAGAAAGCTCGACCAGCGAGAAAAAGTGTTTGGCCGAAGCCAGAAAGAGGGTGACCCACTTTATTCGCCAAGCGAATGATCTTCGCTTCGCAGGAACAACAAAAACCACCATCTCGCTCTTTCCTTTCTTCGGTGCTACCTTTTTTTTTCCAAGGGATGGGGTTGGGGTGTATAATAACCTTTTTTTAGGATGCCCGGGAACAACTCCTAGGTCAATTAAGGAGAAAATGTTTGAACCTCATGGGTAAGGATAAGATAATGGATTTGATAGAGAAATTCATAGACCTAAATAGGATAGGAGAATTGATAAGGGGAATAGAGATGATGATAGAGATCATACTGAGAAACAGAAAAATTCCGTACGGGTACACCTATTATTTGAACGAAGTGCAAAAAATGCGATCTTTGTTCAATAATAGAACAAACACTAATACCTTAATTGAATCGGTCAAGATCAAATCTGTTTATCAAAGTGCTTCTCCGATTGCTCAAGACATCTCTTTTCAACCGAGGAACAAAACAAGATCATTTCGTTCCATTTTTAGTCAAATAGTGAAGGATATTCCATTAGTATTGAAAAAGGGGGTGGAGGGGATCCGTATAGGTTGTTCAGGTCGATTAGAAGGTGGAGAAATAGCTAGAACTGAATGCGGAAAGTATGGAAAAACATCTCGTAATGTATTTAACCAGAAAATAGATTATGCTCCTGCGGAAGTATCTACTCGTTACGGAATCTCAGGTGTCAAAGTGTGGATTTCATATAGTAAAAAAAATGGGGGACGTGCTATATCCGAAGCGTACGAAATATAGTAAATATCGTAAAGGCAGATGTAGTAGGGGTTGTAAACCGGATGGTACACAACTTGGTTTCGGAACATATGGCACTAAAAGTTGTACAACTGGTGGTCTTTCACATCGAGCCATTGAAGCAGCGCGTCGTGCTATAATCGGACACTTCCATCGTGCTATGAGCGGTCAATTCCGAAGAAATGGTAAGATATGGGTAATAGTTCTCGCAGATATCCCTATTACCGGGAAACCTACAGAAGTAAGAATGGGAAGAGGAAAAGGAAATCCTACGAGTTGGATTGCTCGTGTGTCCAGGGGACAAATCCTATTTGAAATGGATGGTGTGAATTTGTCAAATGCTCGACAAGCCGCTACTTTAGCGGCGCATAAACTATGTTCGTCAACCAAGTTTGTTCAGTGGTCGTAAGCTTATTAATCTGACCCCAAATTGGTACACGCCAATTCCATTTCGCCGGACTGAAAGAGCCATCAATCACTATGATCTCTTTCTTAGAAAAGAAATTGCGTAAATTCTGCCTTTTTTGATCCCATGCTTTCCGTTGGTCAACAACCAACTAAATCTATACTTCTTCACTACTCGTACAGGGAAGGTGGAAGAAATTCAGTCTCTTTTTTTTAGGGGGAGCAGAGCAGTCAAAGAATGAACCAAACCAAATGATTGTTCTAGAATGGCTATTCCTCACAATTGCACCCTGTGATGCAGCGGAACCATGGCAATTAGGATCTCAAGACGCAGCAACACCTATAATGCAAGGAATAACAAACTTACATCGCGATGTCTTTTTCTTCGTTATTCTGATTTTTGTTTTCGTATCATGGATCTTGGGTCGCGCTTTATGGCATTTCTACTATAAAAAAAAACCAATCCCGCAAAGTATTGTTCATGGAACTACTATCGAGATTCTTCAGACCATATTTCCTAGTATCATCCCTATGTTCATTGCTATACCATCATTTTCTCTGTTATACTCAATGGACGAGGTAGTAGTAGATCCAGCCATTACTATAAAAGCTATTGGAAATCAATGGTATCGGAGTGCGCCTCTTCACGAGGGTGATTAAAGTGCAACGAAATGCCTTAAAGTTGAATAGGGTTCGCGAAGCATCTAGCTTACCGGTAATCTCCCATTCCCGCTGTCGAGAGACTTTAATAACTATAGCATGCCAGAAACGGGGAGTTGAGGTGGTTAGACCTATACCCCGAAATGCTCCCACCATAGGAGCCTATGGTTCCATTCTTATTGGTGCTGGAGGTACACATCCCTCTTCTCGGTGTGGAACGATATACGAGAAATAGATGCTCATCCTGCAATGTCCGATAACGGCGCTGAAGTAGTGAATCTATCGGCACCATAGCAGTGGTATACAACTTTGGACCTAACGGTCGGCCTAGTAACCTTTCAGAATGGGGGATCCCCGTTGGCAACAACCACGGTAGTAGTTGCGGAACTACTGGGCCGGGAGAGGAGCGGAAAGCCACTTGACTGTAAGGAGAGGACAACATCTTATTCCTGCTTCTCTTTCTTCGCTTCGGGGACAGAGGTCCTACGGTAGGTAACAGCAGGTACAAGCAAGTTGATCGAAGGGGACCAGCGCTTCTACTCCTCCACCGAGGAGCCGTTCCTGCGAGAAGCAAGGGATGTCGTGAACGGTGAGAGGTCACAGAGAATTGACCTATTCATAGAGTGATCCTATGATCGATAAAGGATATAGACTATCTCATTCTTTATTCTATTCTATTTCTGGAAAAAAAAAAGGGTGACTCAACTTCTTAGCTAGAGTTGGTGGTGGGACCTGTTGGCATAATGCACGCTGGAACGTGGGAATTCGAGGTCTCATGAACTACTACTGAAAACGAACCTTGTTTTTGTTTTGTTTGTGGACAAACAATATCTGGTCAGGCCTATGGCTGGATCCTTTTAGATCTACGGGCCGGCCGGCCCCGGCCGTTTACATGAGCATAGGGAATCTATACTCGAGCGTTCCACTGGGCCCCTGACAGGATAGGTGAGGAATCACCCTAGATCTTCTTTTTTTGGGCTACAAATTCACCGAGCCGACTAGCATCCCTTTCCACTGTGTATTTTTTGAACAAAGAAGACGACTATAGGATCAAATTCACTCTTCAAGAAATTGCTCGTCCCATACCTTCTGCTTGTCTCATATGTGTGGAACCTGGTCTTTTTCGGTTCCAGCCTCTCCCTCGAATACATAGGGTAGGTAGGGCTGGGTGAGAAATGGTTCCCTCTTGCCAATAAACTTTCCCTGACCTTCGATTAACCTTACTCATAAATGGTGTTACGGTCGGGAGAACTACCTAACTAAAGAAAAATAGTGTTCTTTCTAAGAGTAGGTGTGGAGAGCTTTTTGCGGGGAAACCTGCAAGTACAGTTTGGCGGGGAGGCGGGCGTCGACCCCTACCTTATGAGTATTCGGACTATAACAGTTCCGATGAACAGTCACTCACTTTTAACAGTTATACGATTCCAGAAGATGATCTAGAATTGGGTCAATCACGTTTATTAGAAGTCGACAATAGAGCGGTTCTACCAGCAAAGAGCCATATACGTTTTATTGTAACATCTGCTGATGTACCTCATAGTTGGGCTGTACCTTCCTTAGGTGTCAAATGTGATGCTGTACCGGGTCGTTTAAATCAGACCTCTATTTCGGTACAACGAGAAGGAGTTTACTATTGGATTTGAACCAATAACTCTCGTCGTATGAAAGCGATACCCTAACCGCTGAGTCAAGTAGGTCAAGCTGAGTCAAGTCACCCTATAAGAGAAAGTCGTGCAACCAAAGTAGCCCTTACTATACAAGGGGGCGGAGCGCTAAGAAAGAGAAAGCGTTATCACTATACGAAATGAAGTAGCGGCTAGCACGCTAAGCTAAGATCAACCAATGTTCGAACGCGGACCCTTTCTTTCTCGGTCGTCTGTCTTAATAAGCGCATTCCAATTCATGCAGTCCTTCTCTGCTGCATTGGTCTTTTTACTCCCCACTCTCCACCATAAAAAAATCTTTCCACTATATCTCCGGAGTAGTCAAAGGAAGTATGGCGGGTCCGAGTAGGAATAACCGACCCTGTAGCGCTAGCGCTTCGCGTTCTTTCTATTCCATCCCATTCCGGGATAGGCGGCTAATACTAAAATAATAAGTGAAGTAGTCGTCGTCTGACCAATCGGCTCGGACACCAGACCGCCCGTGCCCGCCTATTTTGTCTCGCCATAAATGGAATGGCTCTCTTAGTTACGCTGCGCCCCGACCCGAGTCCCCACATCCGCTTTTCTCTGCCCGCAACCCAATAAGTTGGCAAAGTCAACACAAGATTAGGGTCATCCCCTTCATTCTATGTTGACCCCGGCCCGGGCTGGCTTCTTGGTAAGCCCGTTCCCACCGCGCTCACGGCCCGGCTGGTCTTCCAGCGTTAGTGGGAATTCTTCCGTTCCCTGGTCAAAGACTTGGTTGGATGCGGGATCTACTCCACGAGGAGCGGTACGGACGTAGATGATATCATCACGACCCCTCTTTTCGTACCGCTAGGGATGCTTAATGCCACTTCGCCAACTGGCATTACCTACGCTTTCGTGTCTCTTAGTGTGGTCAGCACTGGGTGTTTTCGAGCAGCGAGGCTTACACCCATTCGCATTAGTTCATCCAAAGTTCCTTACCCTTATGCACGAATTATTGAATAATCCATATTCCTATCAAGGTTAAGAAGGCAACTGAGCATCTCAGCGGCGGGATTGAATACTCGGATCGAATCAGAGTTCATGCCGCCCGCCCTGAACAAATAGGAGGTGTGGGCCACAGGTCGCACATAAGCCACCGGGTCGCACGACAGAAGAACATCCAACATAAAGATGCACACTCCTCCATGTGAAATATTCATCTTCATAGGAACTTTTTGATAGTAGTCGTGACCAACAGCCATCAGCTCTCGGCTTGTTGGTAAGGTGAGAGCTTCAAGCCCGATTTCAGGTGGCGCACCCTCCACACAAGCACCGCCTGACGAAAGGGGGACAGGGAAAGCTACAGGCCCAAAACCTTCGACCCTTCTTTCTAAATGGGGGTGCCCGAGGCACCTCATCATCTCATTTCGTCGTTGCTCATTCCCGTTAGGCCGAAGTGTTTGGCCTTTCCTTCTCCGCGCCCGCTCAGGCTTCGCTGACCTATCGCGTGGTAAAAAGAAGAAAGTACGAAAGAATAGTAAACGGAGCACACTGCAGAAAGATTCTAAATATGACAAGTCCCCCTTGGATTCGAGAAGAAGGAAATGAAGAACGGGAACGAAACGAAATAAAGCGTTTCTAGCTCTAGTTTCGGATGAGCTTCTCCCAATTATGTCTGGTAATAGAATAGGGCGGCTTGCTCTGACCAAGACTCCACTTTTTGCTCCGTCCGCGGAGCGTATGAATTTCCTGGAATGTAGATAGACCAAAAGAGGGAATGAAGGGATAGGAATAGGAATTATAGTACCATTGGAAAAAAGGGCACCTGTGGGAACATCTCTACTGACGAACCATTTCAATAGTACGGGTGCTGCCGTGCCACGAGGCACGACCACGGAAGTAATGAAAAAGAAAAAGTTATGTAGTTGGACCATCTGTTCTATCCGTTCGAGTTTTGCTTCTCTAGAGAAGATGAGAGGCTAAAAATGAAAGTGTTCGCAACACATACCGAAAGGGTACTAATTAAGCCGACCATTAATGACTAGTTAAAACACCAGGAGTGGTCTGATCCCCTATTTGATCAGACCGCTCTGAGAAAGAGAAAAAGCAAACTCTCATAGTTCGGAGCCCAGCTCCAACAACTTCTTCGTAAGTGAGGTGAGGTACTTCTTTTGGTTTGAATAGGGGGTCGCCCTTTTTTTGGTTGAAGTAGCCACGACTTTGGTCGTAGTCAGTTTAACCCCATAAACCCAGTCCACTTGCAGCCATGTTGATCAAAATGACTAAGTTTAATGACTTGACCAGTCACTAGCCCTCGTATTATAAGATTCTCTCACCCTGTGGTCGACATTCCATTCCCCTTAGTCGTAGGTGCTCGTTCTATTTTGATTTGAATGGGCCGGGGCTCCCGAGGTACATATGGCCGGCCCTTCGGGTGTCTCGGTGATACAAACAAAGAAAAGACGATGGTTTTTAACATACCCTTGAACAAAAAGCCAATCCTTACCAAAGGAGGAAATAGAATAGAATAATCTACCTTCTTTTTTCCTTCCCGTTGATTCCCCCCGACAATCAAGCTGCACTTCCTTCTAACAAGTGGCTGAGAGTTAGCAAGCAACCTTGGCCTCTTGGCAGGAGGTTCGCTGTCCCCCTCCTTTCCGGTCCGGCCGCAGTACGGCACCTGAACTCGAAGCTACGATCAGATCCGATTGGATCTGGTCCTATCCGACCCAACCCCGGAACTTAGAACGGCCGGCCTGTTTGGACGGTAGAACGGGGAGAGGGGGAGTCGTGCCCATTCTCTATCCGGGCACGAGCAGGAACATCAAAAATAATGGAAAGGCGAATACATGTACATGATGTAACGACATATTCCAAAATACGTGATCCGATTTGATAGGCTGCCCGCAGAAAGGAAAGAGTTTACCGACCGCATAACAATTCATTCTTGATCTCAGCCTGTGGTCGACATTCCATTCCCCTTAGTCGTAGGTGCTCGTTCTATTTTGATTTGAATGGGCCGGGGCTCCCGAGGTACATATGGTCGGCCCTTCGGGTGTCTCGGTGATACAAACAAAGAAAAAATGATGGTTTTTAACATACCCTTGAACAAAAAGCCAATCCTTACCAAAGGAGGAAATAGAATAGAATAATCTACTTTCTTTTTTCCTTCCCATTGATTCCCCCCGACAATCAAGCTGCACTTCCTTCTAACAAGTGGCTGAGAGTTAGCAAGCAACCTTGGCCTCTTGGCAGGAGGTTCACTGTCCCCCTCCTTTCTGGTTCGGCCGCAGTACGGCACCTGAACTCGAAGCTACGATCAGATCCGATTAGATCTGGTCCTATCCGACTCAACGCCGGAACATAGAACGGCCGGCCTGTTTGGACAGTAGAACGGGGAGAAGGGGAGTCGTGCCCATTCTCTATCCGGGCACGAGCAGGAACATCAAAAATAATGGAAAGGCGAATACATGTACATGATGTAACGACATATTCCAAAATACGTGACCCGATTTGATAGGCTGCCCGCAGAAAGGAAAGAGTTTATCGACCGCATAACAATTCATTCTTGTGTGTAGTGCCGTGGGCCCATGTCTCCCGAACGATCATAGTACGACCGCTCATCTAATATAAAATCAATGAGTAGATCTCACCTCCCCTTCCACATACCATAGCCGGAAGGGATAGCGTATCCACAGAAGAGAGAGTACGGGCCCTTGCCCACCATTTAGTTTAGACGCGGCTCGGATGCCTTTATGCTATAGGCTGTGTTAAGCATGCTTCTTTGACAGAAAACAAACTCTTTTTCCATGACAACAATCGCGACTATAAAAGGCGGGGCGGTAAGCTCTCTATCAACAATAGGGGGCTATTCATAGTAATAAACTACTAGACTATATGGATTACAACTGAACTTCAACTTCTACTTGGTTGATTAATTCAGGGGCAGTGCTGGAACATAATGTTGGACAATCTCCATTTCCATATGGTAATTGAAGTCAAACAGGAGCAAACCAGGTGCAATTCAATCCTTATTCCTAGCAATGACTCCAAAAAAGCAAAACCTCACTAGACCAAGGCCCATTGCTGTGGGGACTACACTATGTAAGAGAATGACTAAGGCAATTGCCAATAGTTTCTATTGAAAGACAGACTAGCTCTTTAAAAACGGCGCCCTCCTAATCTCATTTTGATAGGAAGAGATATTGATAATTATCCCAAGGAGGCTTACTACTCAGTTGATAGATCAGGTGAGCCAGCCATGATCACTAAACTCACCAAAGCAGCAACATATGCAAATTGGAATCATAGGTTTCTATATGCTTAAAGAAAATGGGATTTGCAGAGTAGGATACGAAAGTGTATTTATATACAATGGAAAGCCCCTATAATCCATGGACGACCAGTGGAGTTCATAAAAGAAAGCAAAGAAAGGTCCGCGACAAAGTTGTCCCCTCTCTCCATATCTCTACTTACTGGCTGGGTGCAGATAACACTGTAATAATAACAAAGCCAGATAAAGATACTGTTCGTTCAGAATTGATTCAGATGGCGAGGACCCATGGAAAAATCCACCCTATTCATGCTCCACACAGCAACTTGCCCGGTCAATATTATATATCTATGCTAAAATTGGTGATCTATTTTCGTTGCCCCCTTTAAGCGTATGTGATATAATCATTCTTATCTCAGAAGAGAGGTATGCATTGTCCCCACTTAAGTTATTAAGTATTCCTAAAGACGAGGCGATTTATTTTTATGTTGAAACTTTATGTCAGCCAAGGGACCCTGATCATAAATGGGTTGTTTATCCCGGTGAAAGGGACGCTCTCCTTTTAATTGCTCTAACGCATATGTTGAATAGTTGTTTTATGCGTTCATCTATCTTTCAGGAGCAGTCGTGTGGTTTTCCCAGAGATCGCCGTGAGTTCTTTGCCAAATTAGGTGGAGTGGGGAAGATTATAACTATTTTCATCTTGAATCTAGCACCCTCAAAAGGTACTATTCCTCATAAAAGAATTTTACGAAAGCTGGCACCCTTGGTGCGTGATAGCTACATAATATCCTTAGTTTCATCCTTTTTAAAGATACCAATGACCAAAATGGAATTAATTGTTCTATTACGGAAGTTGGGATCCCACACACTGGGTTAATCACTAAGGTCTTATACAATTTGATGTTGGATGATTTCGACCGGGGATTTAAACACCTATACCCTAGTCTTTCTTATTATCGTTACTTGGGTTACTGTTACGTATTATTTACATTGTTTAGTCTCCAAAGCGAGCAGCAGTGTGAAGAAGAAATGAATAGTATCCTCTTAGAGTTAGATCTTGATGGGGATATCACAACTATTCTACCTGGTGGGGGTGCCCATGTGACTCGTGATGGGCGTTTGATTATTCTAAGTCGAGATTGCGGTCTTCACGTTGTCGAACAGTCAACATTCTTTCTTTAGTTCAATTTGTAGTCAATATGTTTTATACAAAAACGAACCCATGCAACGTAGGGGAAAGAAAGGACGGATTGATCGACCAACTTGAACAGATCCATAACCTGCTTCCATCTGTCCTGAATGAGGGAATTAAGGCGGGTATAGTCGAACTGAACTGCTTGATTCTAAGGTGGGTGATAAGCAGTTGTATCCGTATCAAGCCTACCATCTCTTCTCACGAAAGACTTTCCATCCCATCTCTGAAAGTTTTGCAATATAGGTGGCCCTGCTTCAAAGCCCCAGAAAACCCCCCTTACTCTCTCCCTATAAAAAAAAGACCTTTCCCCTTTCCTTACAGTCAAGTGGCCCAAGGCCCCCCGTTCTTTAATAATATAAGGTAAGATTTGAAAAGTAACACGCTCCCGACAAACAATTAATCCGTAATATCATCCATCGTTGGCATTATTGGAAAAAAATTACCCAACTCTTATTCAATCAAAGCCCATCTACACACTCCAGTTGCTTCCTTTTGAGCAAGTCAAGCAGGCGTTGAGCACGAACTGAGACTCTCCCGCCCCTTTGACAACAATTCCTGCACTTGACATCGGATCTCCTCATTGGAAAATGGGGATAAGCGAGAAGCCGTTTTGTAGGGTAGACTCGCTCCTACCTTTAACTAAATCTACTTCTATATCCTTCCATCGTGCTATGAGCGGTCAATTCCGAAGAAATGGTAAGATATGGGTAAGAGTTCTCACAGATATCCCTATTACCGGGAAACCTACAGAAGTAAGAATGGGAAGAGGAAAAGGAAATCCTACGGGTTGGATTGCTCGTGTGTCCAGGGGACAAATCCTATTTGAAATGGATGGTGTGAGTTTGTCAAATGCTCGACAAGTCGCTACATTAGCGGCGCATAAACTATGTTCGTCAACAAAGTTTGTTCGGTGGTCGTAAGCTTATTAATCTAACCCCAAATTGGTACACGCCAATTCCATTCGCCGGATTGAAAGAGCCATCAATCACTATGATCTCTTTCTTAGAAAAGAAACTGCGTAAATTATGCCTTTTTTGATCCCACACTTTCCGTTGATCAACAACCAACTAAATCTATACTTCTTCACTACTCGTACAGGGAAGGTGGAATAAATTCAGTCTCTCTTTTTTTGGGGGGGAGCAGAGCAGTCAAAAAATGAACCAAACCAAATGATTGTTCTAGAATGGTAATTCCTCACAATTGCTCCTTGAGATGCAGCGGAACCATGGCAATTAGGATCTCAAGACGCAGCAACACCTATAATGCAAGGAATAATAGACTTACATCACGATGTCTTTTTCTTCGTTATTCTGATTTTGGTTTTCGTATCATGGATCTTGGGTCACGCTTTATGGCATTTCCACTATAAAAAAAAATCCAATCCCGCAAAGGATTGTTCATGGAACTACTATCGAGATTCTTCAGACCATATTTCCTAGTATCATCCCTATGTTCATTGCTATACCATCATTTGCTCTGTTATACTCAATGGATGAGGTAGTAGTAGATCCAGCCATTACTATAAAAGCTATTGGACATCAATGGTATCGGAGTGCGCCTCTTCACGAGGGTGAATAAAGTGCAACCAAATGCCTTAAAGTTGAATAGGGTTCGCGAAGCATCTGGCTTACCGGTAATCTCCCATTCCCGCCGTCGAGAGACTTTAATAATTATAGCATGCCAGAAACGGGGAGTTGAGGTGGTTAGACCTATACCCCAAAATGCTCCCACCATAGGAGCCTATGGTTCCATTCTTGTTGTTGCTGGAGGTATACATCCCTCTTCTCGGTGTTGAACGATATACGAGAAATAAATGCTCAGCCTGCAATGTCCGATAACGGCGCTGAAGTAGTGAATCTATCGGCACCATAGCAGTGGTATACAACTTTGGACCAAACGGCCGGCCTAGTAACCTTTCGGAATGGGGGATCCCCGTTGGCAACAACCACGGTAGTAGTTGCGGAACTACTGGGCCGGGAGAGCAGCGGAAAGACACTTGACTATAGGGACAGGAAATTGTCTTGTTCCTGCTCCTCTTTCTTCTCTTCGGGGACGGAGGTCCTACGGTAGGTAAAAGCAGGCACAAGCAAGTTGACCGAAGGGGACCAGCGCTTCTACTCCTCCACCGATGAGCCGTTCTTGCGAGAAGCAAGGAATATCGTGAACGGTGGGAGGCCACAGAGAATTGACCTATTCATAGAGTGATCCTATGATCGATACAGGATATAGACTATCTCATTCTTTATTCTATTCTATTTCTGAAAAAAAAAAGAAGGGTGACTCAACTTCTCAGCTAGAGTTGGTGGTGGGACCTGTTGGCATAATGCACGCTGGAACGTGGGAATTCGAGGTCTCATGAACTACTACTAAAAACCAACCTTGTTTTTGTTTTGTTTGTGGACAAACGATATCCGGTCAGGCCTATGGCTGGATCCTTTTAGATCTACGGGCCGGCCGGCCCCG